TCAAGAAGGGAACTCCCCAGCCTGTATGTATGCTGTGGATTCCTTCTCTCAAGGTGCAGCACCCTGCATTTGTCTACGTTGAACCCCATCCTATTCTTGTCTGCCCACTTTTGCAGTCTGTCTAAATCTAGTTGCAGTCTCTCTCTCCCTTCAAGTGTGTCCACCTCGCCCCACATCTTAGTGTCATCAGCAAACTTGGACAGCGTGCTTTCCACCCCCTTGTCCAAGTCGCTGATGAAGATGTTAAACAGTGCGGGCCCGAGGACCGAGCCCTGGGGTACCTCACTGCTCACATCTCGCCAGGTTGAGTACAACCCATCAACCACTACTCTCTGGGTGTGCCCCATCAGCCAATTTTTTTACCCATCCGACTGTGCAGGCATCAATGCCGCAGTCACTTAATTTATTGATGAGGATGGGGTGAGAGGCAGTGTCAAAGGCCTTCTTAAAGTCTAGAAAGACGATGTCCACAGCGACACCATCATCCAAGGATTTAGTTACTTGGTCGTAAAAGGCAATCAGGTTGGTCTGGCAGGACCTGCCTTTGGTGAACCCATGCTGATTGCCCCTGAGCATGATCTCCCCTGCAGGCCCCCCACAGATATGATCCAAGAGCTTCCCGAGCACTGAGGTGAGGCTTACAGGCCTATAATTACTTGGGTCCTCCTTCCTCCCCTTCTTAAAAATAGGGACCACATTAGCCAGTTTCCAATCCCCCGATTATTGAGAAGAAAATATAAAAATGTAATAAAATGTACAGATGAGGATTTGATGGAGTGTTAAAGTATGATAGGGTGCAGGTCAGTTATACAGATCTGTCTGGATTATTAATAAGGCAAATGTGGTCACATAACATTGTTTTATTAAAGTCTATGCCTAAGGGGAAAAATAGGTCATTTTGAGGATGGAGGAATATGTTCTTGAAAACAGTAACTCTGGCAAGGACTTTGAGGTCATGATGGAAACTAGTGGAATGTGATGTCCCAGTCTGATGTGGCAACTAAGTCCTCACTTGGATATGTAAGAAATGAGTGGGAGCAGGGGTGTGACACTGCTATATACAGCCCTGAGGAGGCCATTTGTAGAACACTAATTGATTAGCTCAGGTCCATGCTTCAAAAGTGATATAAGGAAAACTGCATAGTGTTCAGTAAAAGGAATACATGAGTGAAAAGCTTGCCTTGCAACTGTGGGTGCAGGTGCATGTGTGCGTGTTAACATGGAGGGCGACTGTAATTACTGCAATAACTTACCTAGGACATGGGCACTTTTGCACTCTTTAAATCACAATGGGATCTCTGCTTAAAAGTTTTGCCACCGCTTCACTAGAAAGGATTGTCTTGCTGCAGGTATCGTTGAGCTGGATTCACTTCTATGCAAGAAGCCAGACAAAGTGTAACAGTCCTTTTGGCCTTGACCTTTGAGTTAGCAAAGTTAAATATGTGTAGCTGGGTGAATCTGCAGGGTAATAGGGAGGGAGGAATATTCTGCAGCAATGTGAAGGGTATAAATACCACTTATAGAAGACTTGCTTTAAAATATAATTCAAGCAATAATGAGACAAAATTTAAGAAACAGAAAAACTAGGGTGAACATCAAGGGGGGCGGGAAATTCCAGACTCATGGAACTGTGGAACAATTTGCCAGTGGGAATGGTAGAGGATCCATTGCTTTGGGATGCTTAAAGCAGACTGGGCAAGTGCTGTATATGTACAATGAGGAATGGTCCCCCATTGGCAGCTGAGACATAACAGCCATTTAGATTTCATTTGAGCCACTGGAAAGGTTCCCATGCGCCTATGCTAGTCTGCTGGCATGGAGGCTGTGCTAATCCTCTTCCTTTTCTTTCCCCAGTACATTGGAAGCCTCGATGTACCCCGGCCGAACAGCAGGGTAGAGATTGTGACCGCAATGCGGAGAATCAGGGTAAGTGTTGCCAAACATATTACATTTGCTTCTATGTATACTCTGTTAAAGAGCCTAGCAGGGGTGCTAGGGGGAAGTAAACCAGTATGGTGCCCAGTGACATCTCAGCTCAAGGCTAAGCATTTAATATTTTCTTTTAAGCTGGGTCCCTTTAAAATTCTTTCTGACTTCAGACATTGTGCCTCTGTTGTGCTTCTCTTTGTATTATTTAAAGGGTTTAAGGTCTCCTGGATATTAAAGTCTCTTTCACTTTCTGGCCATTCATCCTAGCTGCTTGGTAAGATCATGGTTGGCCTTGAAGCATCATACCTGCATCTTGACTTGGATTTGATGGGCGTCAGATGGTAGCTGATATATCACAAAAGCTGTAGGTTTGTGATGAGTGGGCACAGGGATAGACAAAGGAGAATTTAAAGGGAAACTTTTGTACCTTTATTTTGGTACGTGAAGTGATGAGATGCATACGTGACACCTTCGAATGAAGTGATGGGAGTGTTACTCAAAAGGTTCTACATGATTTCTACATGAATGCCTGAGCTCTTAGAATATCTTGTTACATCTTCAGAGTCTTGCTAGAATGGCACCCCTGCAGTAACCAGGAGGGAGTACAGACTCTAGGATTACAGTGGCTTGATTTTGGGTATCTAACATTATTTTGCTGTTTCTTGGGAAGGAAGTCACTTATCTTGCTTATTGAATGCTGCATCTTGAACCCTGAGGTTCTTGCTGTCAGAGGCAATAAGAATGGTAAGCAACATCTGCTGATTCTTACCATTAGAGCGCTTAGAGGGGTAGCTAATCGTGTTACTCTGAAGTCAAGTGGAAGGCAGGGTAGACTTACACTTACAGTTTAACCAAAGTAGATATATATAGTACAGGCTTTTGTGAGCTGAAGCTCACTTCATCAGAGTGAAAAGACATGAAAAAAGCTTTATATATATCTGCTTTGGTTAGTCTATTACAGTGCTGCCGTGTTTAAGAGTTGTGTCCCTCCCCCAGCCCCCCACCCACCAAAGATCCGCAGAAGCATTCTCTGATACATAGGAGCTACTGTTGGATATTGTTCAGACGTTTTGCCAAAAATAATCACATTCCCAATATGTTGCCAGTGAGTGACATAATGATACTGGGGGACATTGGCTGCCTTGGTGCCAATATTGCTTCTTGTTACGTAAGAGTATGTGTTGCTCAAACAGATGTGGGTAGAAGATGGGTACCTGGGTGTGGACTTGTTGCCTATGTGTAGGCACACTACATATGATGCCAAGCGCTGTTTAACTTCCTGTACAAAGGTGAAACAAAGGAAGTGAACTATTTATGGGAGAATTTTGGTTATTTTTTCACTGCTAGTTAAGTGCTTCAGTTGTATAAGAGGCACATAGTTTGGATGTCGTGCCGCCAGATTTGGAGAACAGGCCTGTTCTGTAACAGATTATGTGCTAGTTACTTTATTCAATTCAAGAATACACAGCAGTGGGCAATCTTCTCTGGATTTGAAGGGACTGTAGAGCTTCCTGTTGAAGTTTTGAGGTTGATTGTTGGTTCCAGTCTTTCCAGTGAGTGGTAGGAAAGAAGGAAGTCAAAGGTTTCAGACTTCTTGTGGCTGCCTGAACATCTCCGGTGAGGGCATTTTGTCCAGAGATTTCTTTGTGTGGCTTTAGCAGATTTTGAATGGAGAGCAGTAGCTAGCCATGCTAGTCTGAAGTCGAGCAGAAGGCAGGGTAGGTTTGCGTCTTATGGACTAGCTAAATTGGAATGCGTAGCATAAGCTTTCATAGCCAACGGGCTTATATTTAATCGCATGCTGTGATACATCTAATGTTCTAGCTTCTGATGAAGTAACCCCGCTGCCTATGAAAGCTTATGCGATGCATCTCTGATTTTAGTTAGTCTGTAAGGTGCAAACCTACCCTGTATTCCACCTGATTTTTGAATGGCTGTGGGAATAACCTTCCTTCTGGTGGTTTTACTGCCTGTCTCACTGGAAACTAAAAATGGCGGAGGAGCGTGTAAATGGAGGCAGGGTGGGCTGGAGGCGGAGAGGTGAGGAAGCCGGCTAAACACTTTCTTATCTTAAAAAATGTGTGGTTTGACTCTGGCTCTATCCAGGCTGGCCCATTCAGTCTGGAGCTCAGCATCTGCTGCTCTAATGGTAGGTCTTGAGGCTGAGTGCACAATCCCACATCTAACTGAAAGATACTTATGTTGCAAAGCCACCTCACCTGGGAATCAGTTGTCACTCTTCCTGGCAGGCTTGTACTGAATTTTGATTAAGGGGTGGTGTGGATGGAATAAACTGATTGTTGAGGCTATTCTGGCCTTAAATCCAAAATTTATTAAATGCTAACAATACAAAAAGAAAACTCCAAAGAATTTATGAAGGTATCCTTATGTGGTCCTTCCAAATGATATGATGCTCGGCTGACTAGGCATTGTCACAGCACCAGGGGTCTCAATCACAGCAGCTGGGTGTTGTTTGACCTTCTGGCTTCTAGGTGTTAAGCTGCTGCTTTGGCTATTTATGTGTCCTTACAGCATTTTTTTTTTTTTACTTTCACATGATTGACAAGCTTCCACAAGTTATGTCACAAGCTCCCACATCATAGCAACTCTCCCCATTTCTTTATTACCCACAATCTGTGTCTCAACATTCTTATCACCAACTAGGTCATCTAAGTAGGACATTTAGGTAGATCAGCTAAATAGGTCACCCCCCTCTCTAACTGCCTCATGCTTGCCCCACATCCAGCTAATGGCATTGGTTATGTCAAGGCCTACAGTCTTAGCCAAAGACTGGATAGTCCCTGGGGAAGGAGGCATACTGTCTTCTTGAAGCCACCAGGAGACCTAACCCTAACTCATCCTGTCTCTTTTCAAACCCACCACTTTGAAATACCAGCTCCTTCAGTCTGAATGTCGTGAGTTCTTCCAGAGAATACGAGAGCTTATGAGAATACCTGTTCAGCCTCCAAAAGAGAAGGCTGAGAGGGGATCTAGTGGCAGTCTACAAACTAGTCTAGGGGGACCAGCAGGCACTGGGAGAGTCCCTGTTCCCCCGAGCAATCCCGGGAGTTACAAGAAACAACGGACATAAGCTAGTGAAGGGTAGTTTCAGCCTAGACATTAGGAAGCGCTACTTCACTGTCAGGGCGGCTAGGGCCATGAAACAACTTCCAAAAGAAGTGGTGCTGGCTCCTACCCTGGGGGTCTTTAAAAGGAGGCTGGATGAACATCTGGCCGGGGTCGTTTGACTCCAGGACTCTTTCCTGCCACGGCAGGGGGTCGGACTAGATGATCTCCTCAGGTCCTTTCCGACCCTGCCTACTATGAAACTATGAAGCTTATATACAATAAATGGGTTCCTCATACACTCCTGGAAGTGCTTCCTCCTTGAAAAGTACACTAAAAGAAAATAAGCACATTTTACTTCCCTGAAAAAATGAATAATAGTGCCCCTCCCTAAATTTATGTTTTGGTGCTGATAATGCCAGGATGCAGGACAAACCTTAAAGGCAGGTATAGTCACTGCCCAGAGCTCACAAATAAAATTCACTCCCAGCCTTGAAACTGGTTTCAAACTTCCTGGTAATCAGTAAGGGAAATATAGGCCAGAGTCCATCTTCTTCTGAGAGCCTCAGAAACACTATTACTGTGATTCAAACAAGTTACTAGGTCTTGTGTCTTTCCCTTATTTATTTCTGCATTGATCATGCACCGAGTCAGTAAGTACACCCATTTATTTGGATTGTTTCAAAGTGTCCTGACATTCCTCAGTTAGGGTTTAAGGTTGTGAAGTTTCTTGCCAAAACCTGAAAAAATAAGAGACGTTCTCTTTCTAAAAAGCTGCACCAAACATGATCCCCTCTGCTGTAGAGTAAACCATTGTGTGCTGAGACCTGCTTCCGCTTGAACCAAAAAAAAAATCTTGTGCAGGGCTGAACTCTCTGATCTCCTCCTCGAATTGCCTTCACTGGCTGTTCATTACAGAATCTAACCCTGAAAATGGGCTTTTACACTTGTGGCCAAAGAAGAATGTAATGTTCTTTAATGGTTTTAATAGTTAATACTTTTGGAAGCCTTTCCCTTGATGTTTTAACCTTCAGCAACAGAATTGTTGGAGGACATATCTGTGGGCGCCCAGACCTGGTAATAGTTTATATTTTCTCATGTTAGATATGCTGTCCTTTCTCCTAAGCATATTTGTGCAAGAATCCCTGGTACAACAATTTAGATCCCTCACTGGTAAATGTTTGTAGACAGACAGTTGAACTCATATCTCTTTTCAAATATTCTGTGATCGTTATCCTTCTAAACAGCATTACAAAAAGACACCCTCAATTGAAAGTGTTTGGGAAGGAGCACAGACTGCAACCTGAAAGGGCCAGCGAGCACTCCATAGCTAAGCAGGGGCAGCAGTGGGTTTTAGAGGGCCTGAAAAAAACTCTTTGCAACTGAAATCTTTGTTTAATAGCATAAATAGACTACAACACGGGGTTAATTATCCAAGGGCAAAGTCTTGAATGACCAGAGAGATCATAGCCAATAATGAGGGTTGTGAAAAACCCTGCCTCCCCATGGGATAGTGCTAAATCAAAATAAGTGTTTGCCTGCCTGTGGACTCCAACCTAGAGGAGAAGTGTGAATTGTGGAGTCAAAATTGCGGTCTGAATGTGAAGAGAGTTTCCTGGAGAGTGTGTTGGTCTGCTGTGTCGGTTCCTGCCCTTTGGAGTGTAACCGTCAGAGGTCAGAGAGAGCAAATATAGATTGGTGTGTTCCAGTTTCCACTGCAGTATATTTTGACAGTGCTTTTATGTATAACCCTTTATTCCTCCCTTTTCTCCCTAGGGTCAGTTGGTTTCTCTCTCTTTGTGGGCCTTTTTCACAGTAACAGAGAGAGAGAGAGATTTTTTTTTTTTCAACGTGCAATGGTAAAACTACAAGAATTAGCAGGAAGACTCTGAGCTGGCATAGTTCCCAAGATCTCTTTGAACTGGCTAGGT